ATCTGCAGAATAAAATATATTGGAAACTAATTCTTAGTGTAAGGAAAATGTACAGGAATGTAGTAAAAACCTTAAGTTTATTTAATTAACAGAACATCATTTTAGTAAAATATATATAAATAATAATTTAAAATTCATTATAGTGGTACACATGTTTTTATTTGGAGTTTTATTTGTAGGTTTCAAAAGAAAAGTGTTATTTGTAGGTTTCAATAGAAAAGTATTTTCTTAGGATCATTATTGCTATCAATTTGAAACATTTGTAAACAATTCGCCAATTGTAAAGAGAAGAGAGCATCTGAACTTCTTCGAAATTAAATTCTCCTCACCATTATCTTGGAGCGCTCAAGTGCGTATCATGACTTAATATTTGCATGCACATATACTTGTATGGCGCCAGAAAGTATGCCAGGGATGTCGGATTGAAACAGCTTAGCTTGTAAGCATTCGCACAAGGCGCTTAATTTGTTTATGCCAAACAAACACAACCGAGAAAATAATTAAGAGCTGTCGAAGGATTTTTCGAAGAGCGAGCAATTTAATTGCGATGCAAATTGAATGCAATCTAATGCTTGGGTGACTGCACAGAAAAACTCTAATAAGATAAAAGATACGTAATTCGTATGTGGAAAAAGTAAATTATGCACATGACAAACTTCGCCCGGGGCCAAACATTTTTGGGGCCAGAAACCGACTTGACACAAAAGTTGATGTCTCAAGTGTGAAGTGAAATATATGAGGACCCAGCAGATATGGGGGCTCCCCTTTCGCCCCACACATAAGTGCAGTTTCCGCTTGTGACTGTGCATATAAATCTTAAGACAGTTAACGACATCATATGGCAGAGTTGGCTCCCAAGGATGAACTTACAATGCATATGCCGCAGGCGGAAGTCCCCCCTCATCCTGAAAAATCCCCAGAGGAGGTGCAACTTTGCTGCATAATTGTGAGGCGGAAGGCACGAAGAAGGACGAGCAAAACGAAACGAAACGAAAATGTTCGCCCAGCCAGTTGAGGAAACCAATTTGTGGTAATTGTCGTGAAATTGCAATTTCTGCAACTGTAATGGCCCACAGGAATGACAGAGAGATGCACCGAAAGTGTGAGCCAACGAAGGACAAGGAGGCAGGCAGTGACTTCGCTTAAATGAGATTCCTGCCATTTGGCGACAGTTTCCAGGCACTGGTTTCTGTGCCGCCGAAAAAGGTGAAAATGATAAACTGCCTAAAGCCGAATTAATGCGGAGATTGCACCGGCAACGACAGAACCAATGGAAATGAGCCATAACCCGGGAGTAATGAGTGGAATCCATAATAAAATAGTATTTGAATTAAATCTGAGAGTTATTATTGGTTGTTTGTTTCTTCATATTGTTATATAACTAACATTGCAAGTATGAACAATAGTTGTAGAACAACTAGAAAGGGATGCATTTTGTAAAATATAGTTATACCCGTTACTCGTAGAGTAAAAGGGTATATTGTATTCGTGCAAAAGTATGTAACAGCTAGAAGGAAGCGTTTCCGACCCTATAAAGTATATATATTCTTGATCAGGGTCACTAGCCGAGTCGATATAGCCATGTCCGTCTGTCCGTCTGTCTGTCCGTCTGTCTGTCCGTCCGTATGAACGCTGAGATCTCGGAAACTATAAAAGCTAGAAGATTGGCATTTTGCATGCAGATTCTAGGAGTTCCTACGCAGCGCAAGTTTGTTTCAAAAAGGTGCCACGCCCCCTTTAACGCCCACAATCGCTTATATTCGATTTTAAAAATTTAAATATTTCGGAAAAGTAAAAATGCAGTTTTATTGTGTTTATCAATACCTATCGAAATGTGGAAGAAATTTTTTAAATCGGACCATTCGTTAAAAAGTTATGCGTGATCAAAGTTTCTATCTCCATCTCCCTCGCACTCCCTTTACCTGAGTAACGGGTATCTGATAGTCGGGGCACCCGACTATAGCGTTCTCTCTTGTTTTAATATCATATTTCGAAAAGTTTAAATTTTGCAAATAACTCAATTATACTGATATAAATTTATGGAAATCAGTATAATTAAGACATTTTGAATTTATAGTCTAACACAATTAAATAATACAATGTCCTTTTCTTTTACGTAAAAAACAGGTTTCTTACAGAATTTACAGAATTTAATTTAATTATTTAATTTATAAATAGTACAGCAAATAGTTAATTCAAAATTTAAAGTCAACTTTTTTTTTTTAAGAAAAGGGTTTCAGTTGGTTAAATTTATGTATTTTTAACTTCATCTAACTCTCCTCCTCTTTTGTCCCCATTTATCTCCAGTGAAAGGAAATGCTTGAGGATTTTATTTTTCGCTGCCCAGGACTTTTCCCAACACGCCTTTATCAGCGCTGAAAAAATCACGTGCGCATAAAACTTTCCAATCAGCGGTGCCAAATACAAAAGAGGTCCTTAACAAGCTGTTCGATGGGGGAAGGGGGGAGGGGGCGGACTCAGGTGCCTGCAATAAGTTTTAACCTCCTTTTGTCATAGCCCTTTTCCTTCGTGCCACTCGTATCTTCGCTGGCAAAGTTTCAACTTAAAATGGCAAATCCATACAATAAATATATAAAATGTTACTTCTTGTGTCACACCTGAACTAACCTCAAATAAATTTTGCACATGTGCCGGACAAAGACCAAAAAGTGGGGTGCATGGCAAACAAAACCAGGCGAGGAAGAACTATAACTTCGTATGTATTTAGCACACAGGAATGCCTCGCTCCCAGTTGAAAAAAGTTCCATCCGCACCCACAGATAAGACCCATTTCAGCCACCCTTTTGGCCATGTTGAGTGCGTTCTGAGTGCCTTGGCTGGGGTCTCCGTGGATCACCTCTCCTAGTGCCAACTCCAGGCGAAAGCAACAATTTCCAATCACTTCCCTTGCAGCGGCACAAAGTTCTATATTTATATTTTACGACACCCCTGCTCAAAGGGGGGCATTCTAAATGGGTTGCCGTAGAACTCGCTTCACCCTACAATACGATACTATTTCCAATAAACCCTAAAAACAAGCTGTCATTTTCACACTCTGATATTATTAGTATTTAAAATTATATAAACGAATATTTGAAGAGCGTATTTCCTAATACATTTTATATTTTAAAACGTATTTATTTGAACTCATAGCTTTTTATATTACAAATTAGACTGTTTAAATTGCTTGGCCTTTAAACGATATAAACGGGAAAATTAACTTTAAAAACTCTTAAGATACATATTTAAAAAAATTAATTTTTTTAAGGCTTAAGTGTTAAAGTATTTTAATGTACGTAAAGTAATGTCGTCGATATTTGAACAACTGAGTCTAAATTGAGGGCTTTAATGAAGCAATTATTATTAAATTATTACACATAATTAAATAGCCACAGTAAGCTGTAAACAAATTGACAAAAAAAGGTAAAATGATATTTAGTATTTACTAATATTAATACATTTCACAATCGACTCGTAACTTTAGCTTGCTAACTGCTTTTTCAAGCAAACCTCTTCCTGAATTACGGTATCAAAAAGTGGTTTGAACGCACGCTTAGTTTGCTTTTAGGGGAATGCCTGAGCCCACACTCCCAAAATGCTTATATGTATAGTATGTGTTGTCTCGGGAAAACTTTAAGCCAAGATAGGACAGTTTAAGGAATGTAGGGAGTGTGCTCGAAAGTGTTGCAGAATGAAAAGTTCCTCTTTCTTATTGCTGCAGTTCGCACAGTTCTTGTTGCATTGATTCGATTTGTTGCGATTGCGTTTTTAGTCTTTTGCATGTGCGCTCCCAAAAAAGTTTGCAACCTCCCCTCCCCCTCCTCACATGTGGACCAGATAAAGCATAACAATTGCTATGCACAAAAACTTTTCTCTTACAAATGTTCTTGTTTCGATGAGGGGAGAGATCTCAAATCTGTAGGAGCACAGAAGACGAAGGGGATTTATTGAACCAGTTTAAAGTTGTTTCCCCTTTACAGGTCCCAGCTGCTTAAAAAGTTGTGCTGTGATTAATTGCAACCCCATCGCCCCACATGCCCCCTAAAAGAAATAGCCAAAAATATCACTCATACGTAGTGTGTTCCACAATTTGGGTTAAATACCCACTGACCAAGCGTTTAATGGAGCCAGCACGCACACTGTCGGCTCATTAAAAAAATTAAGCATCAGCTAAGAGTTCATAAAGAAAACAGTCAAAAAATAGATTCACCTGTTGTAGGTTAAATCGAGGCCAGTGATGTCAAAATTTCCTTTGATTTTCATATAATATATCAGGTATTTTTATAATCGTATCTTGAAACAAAGTATATTAGCAAAATCTGAAGGATCCTTTAAAAGATATGCTAAACAGAATTTATTAAAATTACCCAAATCACGAAAAACGTAATACTATAAGAATTTTTTACCAAGATAGCCAAAATGCCATATTTACTGCATACACTTAAGAAGCGATTTCAAAATCACTACAGATTTGTTAAACGAGTTCATCATTATAATGTTTAATAAACACCCATACATTTTTTTGACTACGAAATTTAGCTGGAAAGACGCTAGGACTTCATTCGTACGTCACCTTGGCTACCCATAAGCTTTAAAGCCGTTAAGCCACTCATACATGTGTTCATTTCGCGCTTTTTAATGCTATTTTTATGGTGACCATTTCGCTGGCAGCTCTCGTCAGTCAACCAGTCAGTCAGTCACTCAGTCCGCTAGTCACACAGTCAGCTGCCTCAGTTGGAGCAACATTTTTACAGCCCAGAATGAAGTACCGTGCAGGCCATAGTAATAGTTCCTGCAGCATTGGCAACTCATTAAGTTGGGGCTTTTAAACCAAATGTTTGCAGTTGGACGACCTCTTGACCCGCTCTCGCCCAACCACAATTGTTATTTATGTTAATTTTACCACTCTACTTCAGACCGTATTTATTTTATGTTTATTCCTGCAAGCATTCGCTGAAAAACATTCTTTCATTTCGCATTTTCCGCTGATGTATTTGCAGAACGTAAACTTTTCGTCGGCATGCTGAACAAAAAATACACGGAGGCCGATGTGAGGCAGCTCTTCACAGGCCACGGAACCATCGAGGAGTGCACGGTGCTCCGGGATCAGGCCGGCCAGAGCAAGGGCTGCGCCTTCGTCACATTCGCCACCAAGCAGAACGCCATCGGAGCCATCAAGGTGAGTCCAGGACTTCAGATAAGGTCCTAATAAGTCAGTAAATACAGCTTGAGTGACTAACTTTAAAAATAAATAGAAAATTTGTGAACATTTGGGGTGTCACAGCAATCACTTTAAGTTGAGAGCCACTTTTTACATATGATGTAAAAATAAAACTTTGTCCTGACTATTTACGCATACACATACACTTACGTAATGTTATGTTTTACATAACCGAATGTAAGTTACACAGTCTGAAATTTAATTTCTAAAATTTGGTGAACTAAATTAGATGACAGCTTATAATAAGATGTCAGCTTATAATGAGATGAAATCTTATTCTCCTTTATTTTATTTTTATAAACATTAACAATTTGAAGGAGCAAAACTGGTAGAACTTTAACGACTGCTTGTGAAAACATCAATGGAAGATCAGAAAGTAACAAAAACGATCGCCTTAAAGTCTTTTATCCTCTTTAAGGGCCTTTTGTCTTTTGGTCCTGTGGCGAGTGTGGGAAAAACTGTCGTAATGATTAATTGCAGTGGCGGCAAGAGTCGCGCATATAAAACACGTTTCTCCATGGCACACATACCAAAGCAGAGACACCCACACACACACACACACATATACTGGGACAGCTCTCCATTCCACAATGCACAATGGGGTTTTTGACCACTTTATGTGGCATTTAGTCATTTTTTAAAAGTGCTCTAATTAAAAAAAAAAAAATTGGAGTGCATTAACAGAACATCAAACTGTTATGCGTCATACTCAAAATGTTAATACTTAACAGCATATGTTAGCATAACAGCTGTAAAGTCAGCTGTTGCATCCGAAAGCACCAGCGCTAAGTTTGCCATTTTTTCAAAGCGTTCTTTGAAATTAATTTATTCGTGTAAAACACCATTTGAAAAGAAAAAAACAAATGGAAACTGATCTCACAGGCTTGTACTATATGTTAAATGTATTAATTGTTTAAATTATGTGTGTTTATACTAATATTTTGTCATTTTATAAATGCACCTTAAGCTGAATTTTGAGGAACAAATTTCAACTTTGGGAAGAGTTTTGAAATAGAAGTTTGCATTAGTTTTCAATGCGTCCAAGTGTATATTGTAGCCTTGTCAATTCTGAGCAAAAATCTGTTAGTCTTATTGTGCACTTTTCCGCACTATTGGTGCAATTTGAATTTTTCTTAGATAACCTCACTTTCTCCAACGCCGAATTGGTTGCTGTTTGGAATAGCGAGAAGGGCCGGCTTGAGCAAGAAAAGGCTATACAATGTTTGATGAACAAATTATTTATAATATGAGGATCATTTTGATATGTTTGTCCTGTCAGTTGCCCGTCAATTTGGACAAATTCGAATCATTTTGCCTAAAAACTGTATCCGTGGCTGCCGATGAGTTTTGAGTTTGATGAAATTTTTTCTTTTTGCTTTTGTTGCACTTATTATCATCCACTTTTATAGGCATGGAGCAACAAATTTCAGCTCTTTAAATTTCATTAATTTTTTTTTAGTTTTAACCGATCGTTCCTATGGGAGCTATAGGATATTGTTTCCTGATCCAAACGATTTTCACACTATATGTGCCTAGGGACAAATAATGACGTTTGGTAAAGTTTCATGTCGATATCTCCAAAACTGACCGAGTTATTAATTAATGCCACAAAAACAGGTCAAAAACCCCATAGTGCAATGGCGGCGGCAACAACAAAAACCGCATGCAACTGCAAACAGGAAGCTGGAACGCAAGCAAGACGCCGCCTCTGGCAGCGGAAGAAGTCAACGGTAATCCTGGCAAACGAATAACCCCACCCTCCCTTCTGCCACGCCCACTTTTGAGCAAACACACACACTCACACACTAACAGAGACTAATGCAAGTTTTGTGCCGGAAACAGGCAAAATTACAAACTTCCGACAGCCAAACACAAACACATACAAAGAGTGGCAGAGAGAGAGAAAGAGGGAGAAAGAGAGAGAGAGAGAGTCCGAACATGCTGTCTCTGTTCTGTGTATATTGCACATAATTTGTCGCCTTTTGCAAGATGAATGTTGTTGTGGGCGGACGGCCATTATAAAGCCATGCATGCATTCTACGGCACATGGAAACACAGATACAACAACTCACTCACAAACACCAAGAAAGTACGGTCTGAACACGCTATGAAGACTCCTAAGGACTTCCTCAAGGGAAAACACTTATAGACTAGCAATCCCTTGGACAAAACTAAACCAAATGATAGGCTTAATACAAATCATATCCCGAAATCATTTCTGATTATTTTAATTAAAAAGTTGAAACAAATAATCATTAGGACTTAGTAGCTTATTATATTAAAAAACCTTGCTAGCTATTGGTTTATGGTATTAAGTCTATACTATCGTTCTTTAAAAGTTAAACTTAATAAATTTATTTTAACAGAATACTTCAAAAAAATCTTATTATATTTATTGCTGTTCATATATTATGTCCTCCTAGATTTGTCGATTTTTGGCACACTCATTTTTATCTGGCTCGTCTTTAGCATTCAATAATGTTAAAAAATCAGTACAATTTTCAAAAAAAGTATTTTAATACAAATTTTTAAAAAATCTAATTTTAAAACACAAAAGACTCACGAAGTTCTATGACATAGCGAGTTCCTGCTTTACCATTATCTGTGTGTGTGCCAGCTATTTTAATGCATTCGAAGTCAAATTACGGGATGCTGGGCACGCACACGCCAGCAATGAGCTGGGACCAAGAGGTCCAGGGCTCCAAGAGATATTAAACTGGAAAAGGGAGCCGCAAAAGGAGCGCCGGCTGGCCAGGACCAGGATCCAAATCATTTGGATCGGCGCACTGAAGCAAGGGTTGCAAAGTCATTGCAGTCTATTGACGCCTGAAAGTATGCAGCGCCATCAAATGCAATCCAAGGCAATGCGAGTCGCCCATCAAAAAACGAAACCCCAAGCCAAAGACGCTCGAGCTGAGGCTGCTGGCAAAGTGCATTTAATATTAATGTGCCATGTTTATAGCCCAGCAATTTGTTCTCGGCTTCTGCTCCTCCATTAAGTCTCTTTTGCTTTACAAAAACCCGAATGAAAGCAAAAAGTACGAGGAGGAACGGGAGGGTGTCCAAATGATGATAGCATTTTTCAACGCATGCAGATTTTATTTTTCGCATTCGTCTCGCTAATTTGTCAAGTGGTTGGCGCTGAGTCCAGGCCAAGTTGGGAATGCGGTTGAGTCCCCAGTGCTCACTGTTGCCCAACGGGTCATTTAACCCGTTTTTTGCTGTTCCGGAGGGAAGTGAGATGACGGGCCAAGTAGTGAAAAATGACTAAGAATTAGTAGAGAACTTGGGAAGGTTCTAAGTAAAGGAATAAAAACCGTAGGGAAATAAGTAGAGTAAGAAAATATACTCTTACGAAAATATTGATTGCAGAAAGAATAAAACGGTTTTAAATTATTATTCAGAATAGTAACTCTGTCGAAAATCAAATCTTAAACACTCCTGCTAACATCCCTTAACATATTGTAGCCAGTACCTGAATTTGCCTCCTTGAGCAACCACAAAAACTTCTATACAAACACCACCCACAAACTCGCGGCATTAAGAGGTCGAAAACAGTTTTGATAAGTTTTATGGCAGCGGCAAGGCGGCTCAAAGCATCAGAATAATGACGCGCACTTAAGCAGCCCCCCGATGTCCGTCCACCCAACCAACAACCCACCCATTGCGGCGTTATCCCACCACCCACAGATAGTTCAGCCCACACAGCCATTTGTCCGCTTAGGCGACTTAATTTACACCTTTCTGCTAAGCCCGAAAACAAACAAAATGGCGCGGGAAGGGGAACGGGAGAGGGGTTCGGAATCGAGGCTGGCAACTCTGGCAGCGTCACGAAAACCAGGCCAAACATTTAGCGAAGGCATTTAGGCTGCGGTCTGATGAGGCGCTGGCGGGCATCGGCGGGGTTTGGCAAGCCACTTTACTTATTTTCCGGTTTATGTAGACTTTATCATTGAAACTCAGCCGGGGCCATGGCGACCCGGGCCGAAACTTCCGCTCAATTGTGGCGGCGGTGGCAACTCTGGCCTGCATCCTGCCCGCCTGTATCGTGGCAGCCACCAGAAGTGCTCTTTAATTACATTGACTATAATTCTTGCGGCTCTGGCGCGACTTTTATGGCCGGCGCATTGTTTTGCCCCTCCCCGAACCCCGTTTTCCACCCATCGCGACACTGCTGCTCATGGCTACAAAGTAATTAGGGAAATTTCCGAGTTTTTAAACAGGTCGCCATGGCTGCACAGTTTGAAAACAGTTTTCCGAGGTGCGGGGCAATTGGGATGCAACGCATTTTTTGGCTTGGATGGATTTAAAAAACAGTATTTTAATGACAAAGGCTGTGGACATGGTTGAATAATAATAATAATTTATTAATAACCAAATAAAGGATATATCACAAAAATGTATTACATCATTCCCAAAAAGGTCAATCAACGTAATCAAAAAAATGAAAATGAAGCAGAAATACACATATTTTTAATCTTATTCATTTAGAAAGCTAAACCTAAAATGTGGCGGATGGGAAACAGATTTATTATTGTAAGAAAATTATTGGGTCATTAAAAGTGCACTTTTTAATTTAGTGCTTTTAAGTAACATATATTTTGTAAAATTGCACAATAATTATTTAATATTTTTCTTGTTGCCTAAATAAGTTTTTCTGTCTGGAAAACATATTTAAATCTCCCTTACAAGATAAACGCCTAATAATATCTTTAATGTTTAAAGATTTATAATAAATTTCATTTCACTTTAATGTGTATATATGTATTTTAGTAGTTTACCCTTTTTGTAATATAAGGCTCGACTCTTTTAAACATAAAATAATTAGTAAAATGTTTTTTTTCGTTTGCTTAAAAAAGCTATTTAACGTTTTATTAATGGCAACACTGCGTATGCTTGATATAAGGTTTATCAACACTGCGTATGCTTGATATAAGGTTTATCAAGCATACGCAGTGTTGTTGATATAAGGATTATCAAGCATACGCAGTGTTGCCATTAAAAAAAAAAAAAACGTTAAATAGCTTTTTAAGCAAACGAAAAAATGACAAAAATGTAATAATCAAAACCACAAGCTCAACATATGCTAAAATATGGGAGTTTACACTAAAAAAGCGCATAATAAATACAAATATAATATAATAAATCACAATTAAACACACGAATGTTTATTAAATAAAAATTTATAAAAATAATAGGCTAATAACCCCAAATTCTAGTAAATTTAATATAATTGCGCTGAAGCATTTTTTGCAAAATCAGTAATTCAATAACACTACAATTATTGTTTACAAGGTCGATACAAAACCAATACAAAACCAACACAAAATCAAAATATTTACATGTAGGATTCTCAGTATGTATAGTTTTCCCATTTAGGGCAAAATCAAAACTTACTTTTGTTTTCAAACAATTTTTTAAAACTGTGTTTTTATATTTGGGTCGTATCTCTGTTATTTTCAGTCCCTTCACCAAAGCCAGACCATGGAGGGCTGTTCGGCTCCGCTGGTCGTGAAGTTCGCGGACACGCAAAAGGAAAAAGACCAAAAGAAGATGCAGCAGATACACGCCTTCTGTGGCATCAATACCCCGAGCGGTGCGTCCGCAGGTTCGGCCACGCCCACCATTAATGCGGCCACAGCGCTGATAGCTGCCCCGCCCTCGGCGGGACGCTCCAATCCGTCGATGGCGGCCGCGCTGGCGGCAGTGCCGCAGGTCCAGCAGGCTGGAGCTGCATCGGCGGCCCAAACGACCCTCGTTCCGATGAACTCCTCTACCGCCCTCAGCGCGTCCTTGACGCCCAATCTCCTGGCCAGCAACGCCCACCAGGGGGCGGCAGCAGCGGCGGCGGCGGCCGCCTATTTGGGGGCGGACCCCACGACGGCGGCCCATCTGCAGCTCTACCAGCAACTTCACGGATACGGACTGAGTCCGGCACACTATCTGCCAGGTGAGTGGGTGCCGCGGAACAAGTGCCAACCTAGGTCTATATGTTAGGTCCCCCTAGTTACCACTTCGATTTTTCTCCCACCCCTCTCCTTATTATAAAAGTCAAAGCAAAACCCATTTGATCAGTTTTAGTCACAGACACAGAATGAATCCATAGCGTGGCATCTTCCTTTTTATATATCTCTCTATCTATCCGAAACTCTTCATTCTATTTGTCCTTGTTTCCTGCACACATCTTCTCGCTGTTTTCTCCGTGTGTTTTACCCATTGTTTATCTTTATTTTTTCCAATCGCGCACTTTATATGTGTTTTCTACTGCAACCCAACAGAAACTTGTTTCAAAATATTTTTATTTCACGCAAATTTAACTTTTTTAATGTTTTCATTCATTTTGATCTTTTAGCGATTCTATGTGTGTTTTTAGCATTTATTTAACTAAAATTTGTTAACAAATATTGAATGAGCTGTTAGTTATTTATTATTCAATTATGGTTTTCTATGTGTGTGAAATGTAATTAAAAACTACAATTATTTTTAATAGTGTTCTATCTAGAACCGGATCTAGTAATTTTTTTCAAGATAAAGTATGAAAATAAGGAATCCAATTTAATAATAAACAATTTGTTCAACTTAATAAGTTCAGGTTTTCTATACATACTTTAAAATTATTTTTACATAATTAAAACCCAATTTTTTTTGGGCTCCTGAAAGTTTTTATATATTTACTTGAATAGGCATTGGTAAAAACCATCCCGCAATCTTAAAATGAAGCCTAATAAAGAATATAAAATCACCTTGGTATGCTCAACACAGCAGTTCCTAATTTACAAGATAATGACATCCATAGTTCGTTTCAGTCATTTGTTTTGACATTTAACAAAAAAGTTGAAATCACTCCATTTTTCTCGTAACTTCATTTATAACCTGCAGATTTAAGCTTGGATAAAAAAAAAGCAGTAGGGGAAGGATAGCAAAGGAGAATCCAGCAACAACTGTCAAATAATTAATTTCAATTTAAGCAACAAAATTTGCATAAATGCAAGGCGAAACAGGCAGGGGAAAAGTAAGCCGGAAAAGTTAGGGAAAAGAAAGGAAACGCGGCCCAGCCCTTCAGTCGCCTGATGAATAAAACAAAAACATTGTAATAGGATTAAAAGGTGGACAACGACAATGACGAGATGACACGATGATGAGGATGATGGCTCAGACGGGCTCCCAGATTTCTGGCCAAAACACATACACACACACATACACACACAGTCGCAGGTCCGTCACACGTACGCGGCGTCAATGTAAACGTGTTGCATATGCAACGCCGCTTCATTAGAATGACCGACGTGCCACGCCCACCCGCCCTCTGGCCAGTCTCGACGGGAACGTGGACATTTTGCGCATAACAAATCAAGCTCGAGAGCTTGAACAAACAGCAAAAACCGGTGGCAAGGGGAAAAAAGAAATAAAAGGGGAATCACAGACAACCAAATGTTGAGCGGCGCGTGATGTAATCGCACAAAGCGCAAAAAATCAGCCACTGAAATGGGGATTTTGGTGTAGATGAGATGCTCTAACGAAAACAGACATTTATCTAGTAAAGAAAACAATTTATTTGCAAAATAACACTCAAAATAATATTTTCACTAAGATGATATGACAATGAGATTTGTTTTTACAAAATTTCAGTTCACGAAGTCTGCCAACTTGTTGCAATACCAATATTACCACAGCAATTATTTAGAGAGCCTTTTCTTTTAGTTCAAAATAAAACTAAGGGTATTAAAGAATCTAAATGGTTTTTATTATAAAAAAATATAACCATTTCTTTATCTACTTATATGAGCTTATCAAATATTTGATAGATAAAAAAAGTACCCCAAAGAATATTTTTAGTAAGCTTTAATTGAAAAACTCCTGAATTCAGGGTCACTTTCACATAGGCAAATAATTATTTTACTTGCAATTATCGACAATATCTGTTTGTTAGATATCCAAGCAGGACAAAAGGCATCCTTAAGCTCACATATCCGACTAAGAAGCAGGACATGCGAAAGGGAATCGGACAGAGGAAACGCGAGAAAAGAAGGTGGGGGCGGTGGTCACCGACCTGACAGCAGTAACTGTAAACGGACAGTGAGGGCAACTGTTGGGCAGTTAGGGGAACTTAGAGCGACGACGTATGCCACTTGAATAACAAATGACGTTTTTAAATGCCAGATCCAGGGGGCAGCCGTCAGGCGAACGGGGCAGAAAGGACTCAACGACTCCGAACTCTGATGGCCAGCAAATGTATGGGACGTGTCCTCTGCGCTCCTTCGATTCCTTTATTTTTTTCTTTATTTAAGTGCCGAATGAAACCGTTAAGTGGATGCGGGAGACCTGTAAACGTTTGCTGATTTGACCAATTTCGGGAAACCAGAGATGACAGAAAAACATTATTTAATTGTGGGATTCTAAGAACAAGCCAATTATCGCAACAGTCCCCAAAAACTTTGGATTTACCCTATTGGGGGAAAATATGTAAGGAATTAACTTATGTTGGCTTTGTAGAAATCTTATTATTGTAGGAAATGATTGTAATATTTACAGTCTTTAAGAATACTTATAAATGAAAACAAAACGGAATCCGCAAAGGAATAACCAAAGGTGGCCGTCTTTGTCTACCATTTTCTCTGCTTTTCTTTGCCCATTGCCGACTTGAAATTTTTATAAGTCTTGCCAAAGGCCCCAAGGGCAAAAGGCACCATCAAAGGTGGCCAAAAAGAGAGGGGCCTCGTATATATAGTGTATGGCGAGGCACTGCCCCAATAGCCGGAGGCTTGCCATGTAAACAAATGCAATTCCAATGTGGCAACAGCAACAACCTGAAGTTGTCCGCAGGTGAGAACACTTAAAGTTTTATTATGCCCACAAAGAGGGGGATACCGGAGGGGACGTGGCAGCCAAGGATAGCTAAACTATAAACACACATGCATACACACACATAGAACCATCCGCTGTCAGCTCATTCAAAGCGAGGAAGCAATTTGAAAAATATTCCTTAAATATGCTAGACAATGCCCGGCTCCTTATGTGAATGTCTGTGCTCACCCCACCCCACCCCACCTCACCCCGTCCCCCTTGCACACATACCACACCTGCCTGCTCTCTCCCTCTGTCTCTGTGTGTGTTCATAGGATTCTTGTTTTGTGTAGAACAGCTTTCAATCTTTTGCCAGCGCCGCCAAGTATGCAATATAAAAGAATGAACAAGCAGGAAACGGGAAAGGGAGCCCTTTTCATTTCCTGTGTTCTTCCGCCAGCGTTCTTAGATTTTGAATTACTTTATGCAATTAATTTACATGATTTTATATAGTTTATGGTTAACTGCATTCGATTGATCTGATTTTATGTCTATGCGTTTGTATCTTTGATTTTACCTATTTTTGCATCCCCGTTTTTTATTTTGTATTTTTTATTTTTAATTACCATTTAAGTTTTTATTCTTTTAGATTTATTTTCTGTTTTTTAACCATTTTTTTATCTTATTGCATTATGATTATTTGTATTGACTTAAATTCTATTTAAATGGAATTATTTTTGCTTTTGCAATTAAATAATTTATACTTCCACTTTTTGAAACATTTCTAAATTTATCATTTTTTTAAATTGTAGCTTCTGTTATTCCATTTATTTTATTTTAGTTTAATTTATTTTTTCTCTTTCATTTTATGTTTCCCATTTTCATTTTGTTTTCGTTTTTTCCCTTCCCTCTTTGTTTATTTTCATGTTTTGTTACTTTTTCGAATTTTTATTTGTTTTGATTTGTATGTATGAAATTTACCGAATCGAATCCGAAAACAAAACCAAACCAAAAAATTAAATTGAAATTAATTTTTTTATAATTTTTTGTATATGTAAATAATCCAATTGGGTGTGTGTTTTCTTCTATGTTTTTTATATATAAATATTCGTTGAACATTATTTGGTATGTCTATGATTGACTCTGTGGTCATGTACAAAAAAAACAAAACAATCAATCAACTCAATCAACCAACTCAACCAAAACCTTAAACCATAAAACCAACCAACTCAAACTGTACAAAACAAAACAAAAAAAATAACTATGGAAAATCAGGACTAAATTTCCACCACCCACCGGAAAACAGTGCCCACCACAGCCAGCACGGTCCCACCGCCGCATCAGCAGCATCTCTATCGGCTGCAGCAGTCGCCGCTGCCGCAGCAGCATCTCTCCCACTTGGCAACGGCGGCCCACCACCACCCACACCACCCACAAGCGGTGGCGGCGGCGGCGGCGGCAGCGGCGGGATCCCTGCCGCCGGGCATGCTGCTGGCGCTGGACTGCTCGCCGCTCCATCCCTGTCTATGCAGAATCTGGTAACCCTGCTAGCCACGCCCTCCGCCCACCACCAGCTGACCCTCGCAAACGCCACCGCCCACCACAGCAGCAGCAGCAACAACAACAGCCAGAGCACCATTCACCACCAACGACTGGCCTACGCCGCACCACCTCCCACGGCGACCGCCTACAGCATGGGTCAGCTGATGGGTCACACGGCCACGCCCACCCAGCAGGGGGGCGGCGGCCAAACGCTGACCTTGAATGCGCTGTGTAAGTAGATCTTCTCAATGTGATTTATTTCAAAAGTTTAGAGCTCTGATTCGTACATTTAAATCGGTTTTAAATTGCCGAAGTTTTACACTCGTCAAAAATAATTATAATTCTTATTATTTTAGAACTTAGATATTTAGCTATCAAAACTAGTTAACAATTACCTTTTGTAATTAACGCCATTATGATTAATTTGGTTTATATCACAACTAAAAGAAAGAGAATTTTCATTCTTAAATTAAAGATTATCTTAATTGTTTCAAGTTCTAAGAAATCAGTGTGAATACATATCAATAAGTTTGTGTATGGGTGGTTGTGTTCTACTTTTGTATGAGTATTTTGTCCATCTGTTCGTGTTTTTTCGTTATGTTTCGTTTTGTATTGTAACCCAAACAGAGTTTTACCTCTGGCACTTAATCACACTAACTCTAAGCGATACAATCCTAAATAATATATTCCTTTTGCCTACTGCATGAGCCTACGACCTCGCCCCGCCAAGCCTTATCCTATTTTAAACTTAAGTACTAAAACTACACAAAACTCTTTTTAACTTATTTAGATAAAATTTATCCATTTTAATGGGCAACCAACCTTATTATAGCAGAAAACGTAATCACCAATATTTGGTCCTTAATAAATTACATTTAAAATAATGTAATGTCACAAAAGATTGCTTAAAGATATCGAAAAATTAACTACCCAGGTTTTTAAATTTAAATTACAAAAATATTTTATAGCACACACTGTGATACATTATTTACCTAAATTTCCATTTTCCAGCAGTTGATTTAAATTTTGTGCGGCCCTTACCGAGTTACATCTCTGTGTGAACATTTCTAATTCCAAAAAGCCCGTTTACCTTTTAGTGTCTTTATTTTTACACTCTTCCACCCCTGTCAATAAAAAATTATTTTTTTAACAAACAAACCGAAGCTAAATTGATAAAAACTGGAAAATGGCAGGAAACCAGAGAAGGCGAAAAAGAATCAAATCCGTGTTACTGACAACAATAAATAAATGGGATTCCATACAATACGTTCTTGATTGCTTAGGAAAAAAATGGAATTTTAATAAAACAACATAAAAGCGAAACAATATGGGAGCAGTATGAAAGGGAATATTTCGCATCAAGGAGAAATTTGATAGCATAGGATATGTTTTCACATTGACATGAAGCAAGGTCCTATATTAAATAATAAAATATAAAGCCTTTAAACGAAAGACAATGTTAAGGTCTGGATAGGATTTAAGAAATGCCATATTACGCATTCGATGGCACATAAGCAAAATATTTAAAATCACATGAAGTCCAAGCTGTTCATCTATACATAAATTGGTTGCAAATTGTATTTCCATATTCCAATAAATTCCTAAAAAGAACATAATAATATATCGAAATTTGGTTAATAAATTTGTGCACAATTTTCGAGATCCCCGATAACAATAAGCTTTTCAATTAGCAACTTTTATGGATACCGCAACCATTTAAATTAAATTTGTTCTAAAACTTTCCCTCACCAAATGGTATGATAAAAAATTCGGAAATATAATTTTCACCCCCAACAAAAAACCCTTGCACAAAATGCAATAAAATAAAATAAAAAACTAAAAGAAAGTAATAAATTTATGGTAGATAATGCAAAAAAGAAACACAAAAATTTTGGGCAATGCACAAAGCGAACTGCAGGGGGCGCCACGAGACTGTTTGGTACAGGGTTGGCAGGCTCAATTAAAAAAGTGGCGCCACGCGGGAAGACCCGAAAAACAAAGGCTAACAAATTTTTTCGTGATACACAAAGGGGAAAAAATCAAAATAAAATTTAATAATGAAAGGACGATGGCCACAAAAAAATGATAAAAGAAAGCATAAAATGGCTGAGCACAGAGTGTGAAAGGAAGACTAAAAATAATCATAAATAAAGGGGCGAAATCTCATATGCGTTAACTCAACTTGGGTTCGCTTATTGTTCAGATATGGTTCTTGTGTACGTTTGAATATATATATTTATCTGCGTGTGTCCTTGTGTCCCACTGTGTGTGTGTTTGTCCTTGTTCCCTTTTTGTAAGTGTTTGTTCTTGGGTAATTTGCTGTATGGAAAAACGAAATCGAGGACAACTTTTTCATTATTGTATTATTTTTTCCAGCTGTTTAAGGTCGTTGTTTTAAGAAAATAATCTATATTTGCCATCCAACATTTTAGGGCCTCCAAATGCTACAGACCCCTATGCATCCTCACTGAGCGGACTGACAAACGGAGCCGCCTACGGAGCCGCATCCCAACCTCTGACTGCCAGCGCCCTTCAAGCGGCAGCTGCGGGCGTGGCTGGCAAACAGATAGAGGGTAAGCTTAAGTTAAATGATGATATTGCTTCATAATAATAGCTACAGGTATTTTTATTTAAAATAAATAAAGGAAAAAACAGGTCTTTAAGATGTATCTAACTAAAAAAAAATTAAAAAGTTTAATCCTATAATTAAATTTGGTGCCGAACATTTATTTTTATATTATTTTGTTTTGTAAATATTTTTTAAATATCATTCGGACACTGAAAATAATTAATTTCGTTGGAACTCAGATTAATTTTGGACTCAGACTTAAATAGCCCAGTCTATTAAAAATAATTGCTTGCTAAAAGTAAAATATTTTATATATTCTATGTTCCTTTTAACATTTTGTCATTTTCCCAACCAGGTCCCGATGGCAGCAATCTGTTTATTTACCACCTACCTCAGGAGTTCATTGACACGGATCTCGCGTCGACGTTTCTGCCCTTTGGCAATGTCCTGTCGGCCAAGGTGTTCATCGATAAGCAGACCAACCTGTCGAAGTGTTTCGGCTTTGTGTCCTACGACAATCCACATTCGGCCAACGCGGCCATCCAGGCGATGCATGGCTTTCAAATCGGCACCAAGCGGCTGAAGGTCCAACTGAAACGTTCCAGGGATGCGGCCAAGCCGTACTAGGCAGCTGAAACGGCTGAGATGGCTTAAATGGGCGGGGCCAAGGCACCCAGCACACCAGTAATTCACAAACAATGGATGAAACTAGTTTATAAAATTGTGCCTTTTAAGCAACGTTCTGAAACCAAAGGACCAATTACAAAAATCTATTTAATAAGTGAACACAAAACTAAAGATAAATAGAAAGCTTACAAATAATGTTCTCGAGTGCACAAAAACGAACCGCAAAAATCAACCCTACCAAAGAAGTAGCTTAAAAGTTGCATCCTTCTTGTAATCACATTTGCTGAAAACCATCAAACATTTTCATAAAATCTATCTAACTATTCAACGTGGTCGGCAAACAAATCCTACAAATAAAATAAAACCAAAATAAAATACAGAAATTTTAAGCTGCGATGTGGCGCCAAAGTATTTTCAAAGCCAAATAGTTAAGCAAATAGAAAGAGAAACAAAAATCAACACAGAAGAGGAAATTTAAATTTTTGCACTAATAAAACGATACAGTTTAGAAAATTAATGTAAAGGCTAAAGTTAAGGACATAAAAATACCTATAAATAAAATGAAGTGGTGAGCAAACCAACAGAAAACATTCGAAATTCCGTTCGTAGTGAGAAACATTTAAAGGGATAGCTAAAAAAAATAAAACTAATAATATACATTAAAAATGATGTCGAGAACCATGTGAAAAACTGAAAACGATTAACTATAGGTCTAGCTAAAATTAAATGAAGCTGATAACTAAATAAGCGTCGGAAAATGTATCACTTCTGGTTTAGTTTCCTCATCCTTACTTCAAATCTATGTTCTATTCATTAATAGTTTTAAACTATAAACTTAACGCAAAAATAAATTTTGTCAAATTTGTACTTAAATTGCACTTGATGTTAGAGGGCAAAATTTAAATAAATAAAAGTCAGACAAACTAAAATGTAAACCATTTAGTGTATTTTAATTTAACATTTATTGGAAGGTGTAAAAAATGAAACAAATCAAGTGGTTTCAAAGATATACAAATAAAATATTAAATATTATAAAATATAAAATCATGGTGTCTTTAATTTTTGGGATTAATGTGAGCCTTATTTATTTCTTGATTTATAAAGATTGAATTGATTTTAGCATTTACCATTACCACTTAAATTAGTTTGATTTTGGTAGTTTAAGTACTTTATTATGGAGAATAACTTTTTTTTGAGCTGTAAAGTAAAGTTCAAAATTAAATTAAAATCGTATGACATGCGAATGGAACCTGACTTAACTTCCTTTCAAAGGCCTGAACGTGTTTGAGGCAAATTATATCGTTCTTAAAATGGAGCATTGAGCTAAGCCTCTGAAATCGCCTTAAAGAAAGTCACTCTTCATCCTTCTGCCAGTTGGGTCCTCCCAGGAACCCAGAGATGCGCTCGTTGAGAGGGATCTTATCACATTTATGCTATTGTACATGCATTCTTTATGCGCCAACTGACAACTCAACTGGCGCTGATAGCTGCGGACCAGGAGACCAGGATGAGGGAGTCGAGGTGGGAGTGGTAGTAGGAGTTGGAGTGGGGCGGGAATCCAACAACGACTGCCATAAATCAAAAGCATCCTGTGATGGCTGCTGCTCCCCTGCACTCCTTCCCATCACACTCCATTTCTTCTCCTGCTGCAATTCAAATGTTGGCGTTAACGCATGAAATATGCATATGCTCGGAGTCGCCGAATGTGCAGCTGTTGTCTGGATCTTGCTTTTTTCACGTGCTACCTGAGAGCAGAGCCACCGAACATGGATTAAACCAGAGAAGCTAAATAAACCATTAATGTGCTTTGAAAATAGCTGGCCAGCACTTTTTTCAAATATTTTTTTTAAGTAAGGTTCATTTTGAATACCATTTTAAGTTGTTTAAAGTTGTTAAATTAATATAAACTTTTATTTACAAAACTAAAAATCTGTGATCATACAATTTCAAATTAGAGCTGGAAGACCATTTGCCAACAAATGAGAATATAATACCATCATCACCATACAATTACCCCAGTATTATACAAAATTACACATCTATACGTTTTAAAAAAAAGGATAGGGTATAAAAAAAAAGTTAAATAATTTTGATTTTAAGACTACCAGATCTTACCTAACTTTTATTAGAGTGTTTTCGATTTTACAGCACTAAATTAGGATATACTTGGCAAAAATAAAACAGTCGGCTACCCTTAGCCTCGGTCCGAGTAAGCATTCTTTAAACTTCAAAATACGTGCCTGTCGTTGGGGTCAGCTCACACCATTATTCAGTCTGCGTTAAACCGTGCAACTTGAAATATTATTATTTTTTGCTCGTGAAAAAACAGGCAACAAATTCAAGTTTCTATTAAAAATGGCCCAGCAGGGACAGGGTGAAAAGCCGCCGGGAGGACCGCCAGGACCTCCTCCGGCCCGTCCACCTAGAACTCCGCCCCGTGGAACGCCGATGGCCTCGACTCCGGGCGATGTGACTCCAGCTCGAGGGCCACCTCCTCCTCCATCAACAAAACGCATATCGATAGGAATGGGAACGGAGAAGCCGGCTTCCAGCAGAGCCACCCGTACAGTACCTCCTCCAGGAACAGATCCTGGCGGACCGTCGACGTCCCCCGGGAAACCTGTAAGAGATTCCGGTCCCCCAACATCGCCTAGGGCAAGTCTTCGGGACTCTGGTCCATCGACTTCGCCTGGAAAATCAGCAAAAGATTCCGGTCAGGATTACGGACCAGCGCCTCGGGCAAGTATTCAGGATTCCGGACCAGCGACATCAACCCGGACTTCTATCCGAGATGCAGGTCCACCATTATCTCCCCGGACAAATGTTCCAGATTCGAGTTCTCGCCGAGTTAGTACCCAAGATCCCGGAACTCGACGTTCAAGCTTTCAGGTGTCCGACCCATCTTCATCTCCGCGGAAGACTACAGCTGATCCCCGGATAACTTTTCAGGAAGCTGCACCATCGACGTCTACCAAAACGGTTAAGCTAGCAGCATCCGCTCCAAGTGCAGCAAAGCCTTCTCTAAAGGATAGATTTTCCGCATTTAGGGGAAAGAAGAAAGCCGAGATTTCGGATGCACCGCCACAAGCCCGTGATGTGAGGTCTTCTTCGTTAACCGGGCCCGCAGCAATACAGAACAGGGCCAAAACGAATCGCATCCTCTACACGACCGATGAAGAGGTGCGCGATGCCCTCGTGGAGTTTTCCGTGTTCATCATTTTTCTTATTTTAACATCGCTGGGTAAGTGAAAAAAAGAAAATTTATAGTTTAATTAAATGTATGGTCTTAATGTTATGGTAAATGCATTAGAAGTAATCAATAGCATTTCGATATTTTTGATAGTAGGCTTCGTGTTACTGAGTACCATTTCATTACATTTGGAGCGAATGACCCTAACACATAAATAAACATATCCTTATATAAAAAGTAAGAACAACCAATTATTGGCGCTTAAAAATAATAAAAGAAAACCAATTTTAAAAACCCTAAATAGTAAAAATATAGTAAAAAAGATTTTCTTTAAATGTCAAATGTCGATACAATCTACTGTAGCTAACATCTATGTTTTCACTGCTCTAATTAACTTTGTAGTCATATACAAAATGTATATTATATTTGAACATTTATATGATTTCAACAATTTATGTACTATTGCACAATTTTTTTTTTTTTTAATACTTTTTTATCTATTACCCCACAGTCGTTTTGTCTGTTCGACACTCTTACATGTTCTATTTCAACGACACGATGAAGAAACTCTTCACGACCCGGGAACTGGTCGTGGCACCCTCGGTCACGGTTTGTTTCGACAAGCTGATCACGGTGCCCGATTGGTGGGACTACCTGATCTACAACTTTCTGATAACACTCCACGGCGACATGACCTTCATTGACGGCCATTCGACAGACAATAACACGGAACCAACCCAAGCGCCCCCTATTCCCGGAGTGGACGAGGAATCGCCCGAGGACTCGCCCGAGGAATCACCCGAGGAATCACCTGAGGAAGCTCCCGAGGAATCGCCTGAACTTGCCGACTCCGAACCGGAAAGGTTGCAGGAGGGCTTCCAATATCGCGGAAGTCCCCACGAAGACTGGGAGGCGGGGGGCAGAGTGATCCGTCAGGCGGACTCAAGTCAATTCGTCGGGGACGGCGGTGAAGATGTTATATCAGATAACAGAGGCAGCAATATAACCTCACATCATCTGGAGGTAGGTGTAATTTAATATGTTCGGGGTGCACAGGAACCTTAATGCTCTCAAATGCTGGAGCTCCAAACATACTTTCAGACAACTATAAAATTCACCCCATCTATAAACCATTCTAAGATTTTATTAGCGTTTTATATTTCAATAAAATAAAAAATAAATAAATAAATAAATAAAAAAAAAAATAAATAAATATAAAACCACCATCGAATATCGAACCACCATCTGCTATAAACGAAAAGTCGAGTGACATAGACTTCCATTTATAGAATGCATGCGCATTTATACTCTATATTGCCAATACATTTCCGACCCTATATTATATATTATTGATTAGTAAAACTAGGAGAGTCGATCTAGCTATGTCCCTCCGTCTGTTTCTATCTGGATAAAACTTTCCCCGTAGAATACTTACGTATCATGTGCATATATACTATGCCAATAAAACTAGTTCGATTTACAGAGACTTCGAGTTAAGGAAGTTCGAGTTAACCAATTTGGCTGAATTTTGTTTCCGTGAGACCACCTATTTAATTTATTTAAATGAAGTAACTACGAAATCCTTGTTATCCAGGGACGCGTCTTCCTATACGAGAATCTACTCCTGGGTCCGCCACGCCTTCGTCAAATCAGAGTGCGGAAGGAGAGCTGCTACGTGAACGACGCCTTCATCCGGTACTTCAACACCTGCTACGCCGCGTATTCCAGCGGAGCGGAGGATCGCCAGGCGATGTACAAGGGTTCGCCGTACCGCACCATGAACGACCTTGACTCGACCCCCATCTGGACAGTGCTGGCATTTTATCGCAGCGGCGGGTACACGGTGAACTTGGACTATGACAAAAATGAAAACCTGAAGACCATCAGCCACCTGAAGGACATTCACTGGCTGGATCGTGGGTCGAGACTCTGTCTAATTGAGTTCAATTTGTATAACGAAAATACAGACATCTTTCAGAGCGTTAAGTGCGTTGTGAGCTAAACGTTATAAACGTCACATTTCTTATGATATTTTACCTTTTCCAGGTTGATAGCGGAGATTCCGCCAACGGGCGGTGTTATACCTCAAGCCCATCTGCAAACTGTAAAGCAATATTCCTTTTTCACCGACCGCAGCATGGTCATGACTGTGATCTACATTTTCTGGTATATTATGATTATTTACTACACCATCTATGAAATTATTGAAATTCGTAAATCTGGGATCAAAAACTACTTCTTCTCGATGTTAAATATGCTCGATTGTGTTATATTGCTGGTAAGAGTTTGCGCGATGTCATTTTCTATTACGTAAAGAACACCCAACTAATCTTTGCATATAATGAGCTACATTTGTTTGACACCCTTGCAGAAGGTATAAAGCTCTCAAATAAACAAGTGCTTCGTGAATATAGTCCGCGAAAATTACAATTAAAATCGGGAGACTATATCATATTGCTACACAATTGGAATGATCGGAAAATCGATCCATCTTCTTATTTTACACATATACTCAAATAACTCAAAATAGTTTTATAGAATATTTAATTTTGGTAATAGGTGCCCAAACTTGCTTTCTTTCTTGTTTAGAGTATAGTCTTATGTATTATATTTATGATTGGATTTTATGTTTACTTATATCCTTTTCCAGGGCTGTTACCTTGCTTTAGTATACAATGTTTGGCACACCTTTAAAGTACAGTCTCTCACTGCCAAAGCCCGTGTCGAATTGACATATCAAAGTCTGGATGTTCTTTGTTTCTGGAATATAATTTATGTGGATATGATGGCCATTTTGGCCTTTCTCGTGTGGATAAAGATATTCAAGTTTATCAGTTTCAACAAAACACTCGTGCAATTTACGACTACACTAAAAAGGGTTTGTTATACCCCTAAACATTAAACATTATTTCTTATCTGTACATTTTCCACTTTTAGTGCTCCAAAGACTTGGCCGGCTTTAGTTTAATGTTTGGAATCGTATTTCTGGCCTATGCTCAGTTGGGTCTTCTTTTATTTGGCACTAAGCACCCAGACTTTCGTAATTTTATTACTTCTATTTTGACTATGATAAGGATGATTCTAGGCGACTTTCAGTATAACCTTATTGAGCAAGCAAATCGAGTTCTGGGTCCTATTTATTTCCTGACCTACATCCTTCTTGTGTTCTTCATTTTGTTGGTGAGTTTGAAATTTCAATTATTTTATTCTATCAAAATGATATGTCATAAAATGTTGTCCACAATGTCCTTCTTACATTACAATGAGAAAAATTAGCCAGTTTCACGGAACCCATGCCAAAAATCTTAATGCTAAATAGACTAGAAATAATATATATATTATAGGACAACGTTTCAAAATTAGACACATAGAAATTTTGCTTCAGATTCCGCTTCAACCAGTGTTTCACCAATTCTTCTTGCCTTCATAATCGCATCCCTACCCATTATTTAGAACATGTTTCTGGCCATTATCATGGAGACCTACAACTCGGTGAAGAGCGAAATCACCCAAGGCCGCAGCCACTTGGGCTCCTATATCTATAAGAAACTGACGGGAATGCTTTACTGGGTCACCCACTGTGGCCGAAAACGCAGACCTCAACCTCTGACCTCACCGGCCGAGGATAAGGATGCGGAACAGGATACCAGTACCGCTCAGGAAGAGCCCCAGGAGGTGCGAAAGAACATGACGCCAGCAGAGTAATAAACCCTTAATCCATTGATTCTTTCGAACCTTTTTTAATAAACTTTTTCTTAGAGCAAAATACTACCAGGATATTCCACCAGGAGAAAACCAAGGCATGGTTCGGTAAGACCTTGAAATTTAATTATCTGAATATGAATTAACCACTTACCTTTTAGTCTGAATAATCGTGTGGGTCTGCTGGAAGAAATTTTGGAAAAGCTGATCACCAATATGGATGATATTTTAAAACGTGTCGAGAAGGAGCGCAATACAAAGAAAAAATAGAAATGTTTATTTATTACGTTGTTCTTCAATGTTACTTAAATTAATTGAATAGATTTACAAAAATTAATATTAAATAAACATTTGAACTCAGCGAAAATTTGCTACTGTTTTATAAAGGTACACACATACTTTACGTGGCAAACAATCAAATAAGCGAAAATTAATTAACTTCAACTCTGGCAACCCAAAACTAAAGCAAACCCACAAAACCGCGAGAACCGAGCGCTAATCTCTGCCAAATCCGTGCCCGCTTTGTCCTCTTAACCCTCTATACCTCACATCCGTGCAACTTCACACCACCACTCATTTCCCTATTTGGCAACAAAGGCATAAAGAAATTACAAACACAAGTGGAAGAAAGAACCGTGAACAAAGCAGCGAGCCACAAGTTTAACTATGTATTATATAGCCGTGGAAAAGAAATACACTTAAACAACTTGAGAGCAAAACACCAAATAATATTCGTAGCCTAACAATCGGTTAAACTCAGGTTATTTAGATTAAATATTAAAAAGGAAGGGTGTCGAATCTAATAAATGTACAAAATAAATTATTTCGTATTCACAAATTAGAACATGTGAAATGATTTTGTTGTTGTCTTAAATTATCTTATTTTGCAGTATACTTTTAGGACGAAAGAAACAGGACCTGCAGATTATGACGTTGGCACGTAATGGCCTTAGCAATTTGCGAGAGACTGACACATCCACACGGAATTCAAAATAAAATTAAAAGTGTGTAGCTAATGTTACCTGTAGGAAAAAAACCATGCTGACAGTAAATATAAGCAAATGACTAAAGCTCATATTTCCCCTCAATAAGAAAGTAAGCGTAGCCATTATTATTAAAGTAAAATTGGGTTCTCGTTTTAAATATAACGTCATTCTTAGAAAAGTAAAGAAATTAAATACATCTATTAAATAAACAATATTAAAAAACTTTTAAAAAGTTTTTTCTCGACACTATAATCTTAATATTGATAATATTAATATTGATTAACTTAAAATAAAACTTCAAAGCACTTCAGTGGCCTTTTTAAGCTACAAAAATTAAAATGTCGGCAAGCTTGACTAAAGTGTTTTAAATCGAACAAACGATGCAAGTATATAAAGCTGAATTTATACAGGTATTGCCACATTTACATGCCTCGCATTGTTTCGCTTTTGTAAATACAAATTGAAAAGTTGCAATCATTGCACCGGGCAAAACAAATACACAAAGGCTGTGAATAAAGTAGGGGATGGGAGAATAAACCATTCAACAGACAGGTGGAAGAGGAACTCCAAACCAGAGGAATCACGGATTAAAAGCACGGGAGCCATAATTACTGATATGCCTTTCACTCACTCCCCAATGAGCTGAAAACAGTTTGCATCCTTTATTCTCAGGACGGTGCTGATAATGCAACTCTGGTTGTAATATCCAAATATGTCGGCCACTTGTGCTTACAATTGGCGTGCAACCCATCAGTAGGATTATTTACATTCCAGTATAATTTACAGCTTAAATAAATTGTACTGGTATTTTTCAGTAGAGTTCACTTTATGTGACTTATGTTATTCACTTTTATAAACATTTAGCTCCTCACCATATTTTGAGCTTGGTGACTTAGTCAAAATGCAGAGAAGGCCATATAAATCTGATGAATAGGTCGTAATCGTTTTTCGCCCCCAGACTATAATTTACCAATTAATAAGCTCTTATGGTCCGCGGATTTGTTTGACAAAAGAATAACAGGCAATTAAGTTAACCATAAGTTCACCACAATTAATTACCCCAACACATAGTATGGAAAAAATAATTAACTAGTCGTTTTTTTAATGCAGAGAGAACTAATGAGGCATATATTGCCTATCAAGCATTTTATGCCCATATTCAATTAAATCAGTGGAATCTCTATCGAATAGTTGCACTTTAGCCTGAAAATATGCAGCATTTTTGAAAAGGCTTTAAAAGCTCTTGATGAATTCGTTTAAATATTTCATTTATTCAGAATAAATCATGGCACCAACAAGACGATGAAGTCTGTTAACCAGAGTGATTTTGATTATTAATTTATGTTAACAGTTTTTAATTTTACAACATTTTCAAAACGCATTTTTGCTTTTATTTCATATTATAGACATAATATTTTAATTATTAAACTCTATTATAATTTAAAGTTACATTTATTTTAGGCTTTTATCTGAGATTTTACTGTATTGTTGATTATTAAAATAAATAAAACTCCTTCTTGAAAGGATACTAAATTATATTTTATTTATTTAATTTTTGTATTTTAGCAATAAATAATGCAATCATGACCACTTAATACTCGTTCTCTGTCGAAATAAATACGATAAATTACGGTTGAAGAGAATGCCGATTTCTTTGGATCTCTCAGAGATATCCTCGATGAAGTGTTACAGACTAGGGACTTAAGATTAAAGAAAATGCCTAGACTAGATGGGGTCACACAGCCCTCACTTTGAAGGCTCCCCTAAAGAAAGCTTTTCGAACATGGGCATAGTTCTCATTTGAGATGGGTCCACAAAGACCTCAGCATCAGGATTGAGAGGAAAATCTGGATCTGCGGCAGCCAAATCGTTGACAGCTATATCGTTGGAAAGGTCCACGGGCACAAAGTTCTCCTCGATATCGATATCATTGTTCAGGTCGTTTTCAAGGTCCAGATCGTGATATTGATCTTGATCTTGGTCCTGGTCGAATTCAGCCCACTCTTCGTTAAAGGTTTCGCTCATTATGACTGGAGTTGTAGCTTCGCCATCTTCATCGTCGGAGGACTCGAGTTCTTCGCGCTCCTTCTTCACTTTTTTCTGCAAGAATTCTTTTTCCTCGTGATACTGCGCCAAATGTTCTTCATGTGCCATGTCTTTTTGTTCAGAAGCCATCATATTCTGCAGCTTATCCATGGTCGCTCTTTGTTCCTTAAAATGAGTCTCCACTATATCCTCACTGATATCTGTAGCCTCGGATTCTGAGTCTGCGGGTAAGCTGTTTGCAAGTTTTGTTGTATAACTTGTGGTTTTTGGTGTTGTGAACTGTGCATCGATTTTGTGAGTATGTGTGCGTGTGTGCGAAATAAATTGAATAAAAGTTGTAATTAATTTGTAATGATTTATAAGGGCCAATAGTAGGGGTTAGTATTTCTAAAAGTTTAACACAGCGGCATCTTGCAGATTTTCAAATAAAATACAAATTATTTTATTATTAAAGAACAGCGATAAGTTTAACATTAATATATTATACATAGGGCTTAGCCTTTTACCACTATCTTATTTTGCAATTGTTAAATGTCAAATATCAATGGTTTTTTTTTATATTGACAATTAAATTTTTAAAAAATTTCAAGGTTTTTTTTTTTTATATTTTGAACTTTGTTTGTACACCGGTAAAAACTCACAATAATTTGTAGCTCTTTATTCGTTGCCTTTGAATCTTCAACTGAGAAACTACCAAGTCAAGCTTACATTTTTATAACATTAATCTATAAGCAGAGAATGTAGTATTTCAGAATGAGAAAAAGTGATAGGCTGATTAACAGCGGCTTAACACAGAAGCGGCTCCCCAACGAGTGTGAGAAAGAGCAAACGATAGTAACAGAGCTAAGCTTACATTTACCTCTCAACAGATATTTCTCAAAAGCCCTCTTTATCTTATATGCGTGTTTCCCTCTATAGTGTCATTTCATTCATTACTTTTGCTTGTTATGCGTTGCCTCACTCATGATTCATGATTAATCAGCATTAAGCTCATGCCCTCTCACTCAGTCTCTTTTAGTGACGTTATATATACAATTCTTCTTCGTCCGATTTCGCTTTGAGCTCACTATTGTTTTCTCAGAAATTTATATTATTAATACAACTTTTTACACATTTGTTCATTTTCGTTCGTTGTGATCACTTAAGTATATTTTTTTCAAATGATTTATCACAACAGATGCATTTTAAATGGGCGTTTAAATGAGAAGAATTTAAGGCAGTGGGATGAACAGCTTACTTGGGTATGTACTATAGTTTGTATGCAAATTAACGACTGAGTCACGTTCTGTGTTTCGTAAGAATTTCTCGAGAATTCGCAGTGATTGAAAAGTGGAAATAATTTTTGTGGTTTGACGGGATGAATGGAATTTTTGGACATTTAATATTTTGTTAGTGGTTTACTGACCAAAGAACTTAAAAACCAAATAAAGCAACTGTATTTATTACCTCTAACCACAAATAACTGATTTGGCCAGGAGGTAATTCATTAAAATAATTTATATGCTTTGTTCGGACATTAATGCTAAAAACAATGTCTTTTAATAATTCTCAAATGTGCTTTAGGCTGATGATCCTGATCAGGAATATATATTCAATACATACATATGTACTTCAAATCGGAAAGAACTCTTCCGGCTGCGAACTTTTGCATGAGTACATCTGCATATGCTTTTATTTAATTGGAAATAAAAAGTTATTTGGTCAAAGTTATCAAAAGCTCAAAAATTCACAACTGTGAATTTAATGCGAAAATATTAATAAAAACCCTCAGTCGTTTGCATGTTTGCGATTATGGCACATGCTTTTTGCAAAAGCTTCAATCGTCAAATTGTTTAACACCCTTCAACAATTTTTCAATATTTCAATGCAGCTGGAAAAGGAGTTTTTGCCGTGACTCCGCCCCACCCCCTCGCATTCCCTTCCGTGTGTATTAATATTTATAACCATGAATATTAAATTCAAATAAACGCATGAGAAGCCAAGCCTCCTTACACCCGTCACCCCCCCGCCTCCAAACACAAACCACAACTTTCAATATCCGCGCGAGATGAAAAATAAAGTTGAACACACAAAAAATTAAAATGGAAATATAAAAAAACAAATCGACTGCAATTCGCAACCCGTGCGAATAGTTTTTATTTTTTTTATTCTTCTTGCTTCCGTTGTGGGGTACGAAAATGTCACCGCTGGCATTATTTAAATTTAAATTTGCGTATTTAAACGTTGACATGTCACTTACAACTTTAAAATTGTTAATAATTGCGCTTTACGCTGCATTGCAATTTTTGTATGGTCATTTATTAATTTCCCGCTGATTTATGCGGCTCGCAGAGAGCAACAAAAAATTTATCCAACCGGCACTCGTCGATTTCGCCACAATAAATTCTCATAAATACAGCCCTCTTCGCCCCCTACGCCCACCTGCCACGCCCACCGCGGAACTGCCGCCCGCCGCCCAAGACAAGGATTTATGCGAGTGGAGCGCATGACTTTTAATAAAAATTAATTTTTATTATGGCCTAAAAGTAATTAATGGACTTGCAACAAAAACGCCAAGAAAAATTGTCGCATATGATGCATGTACCGCTAAAGAATTGGTAACGTGTGTGACCAATTGCCGGGGGTGGTCTGGAAAAATTCACATATTTTATAAATGGAAAACAGTGACTTTAACCCGAAATTTAACACAGGCTTAAAATGTGATCCTGACTAAATCCCCATTCCTTATTTATTTAACTTTACCCAAGGCTTAACAGCAAAATTCTTTGAATGAACAACCTTTTCTCTGCAATTTAATATGTTGAGAAGATGAAAAATTTTGACTCATATCCGATATAAATATATGTAGCTGTTCTCTTTAAGATATATATTTAAAGAACACACTATACCGAAAACGCAGGCAATAAATTTCTCCACTCGCCATTTTTGTTATATTCATGAAATTTAAAATCTATACATATAGAGCAAGTAAAGAAATAATAAACCTAAAATAATAACTGAAAATAAATCTGTGCTCGTTAAATGAGTGCTGTCATAAAAACAAAACAATAAACTCTTAAAAATTCTCTCAGTTGAAATCCAAATTATCGTGCATTAATTTTGTCATGATTCAACTCATAATTCTATCTGTCAATTACTCTGTTCAGAAATATTTATCTCTCTCATCACATTATAGTTTTTTACTTATCTACACTTTTGCATAATATTATGTTACCTCCATTTTTTGTGTTGTGGCCACAAACTATAATTTGTTTGCATTATTAATTTAGATGCATTGCAGTGATATCAAAAAAATGGATCAAATTACTCACAAATCCAATGAACCAATATGCATTTTACATGACTGCAAAAACATTATTAAAAAGCAAGAAAAACCATCTAATTGTACAATTAAACATTTTGTCGTGTTAATAAAATATTTACGAATGTGGTTTGAACAGATTATTGGCCTGACAAATTAGAAAACTTAATTATAGAGCCCACGAAACTGAAAAGAGCGATTAAATTAAAAATAAACAGTCAATAAAAGCTTTAAAAAACAGCAGTAGTAAACCACAACCAAATCAAGTCACCAATAAGTTTTAATTTCAGTTGCATAATATTGTGTTATAATTTTTAGTATAGTAAAATAAACGCAGGCATAATATGTACAATTGCATTGCTCAGTTTTTATGGAAAACTTTATTTAAAAAAGAATAGAAATATGTATATAGGTATATTACAAGTTTTTAAGAAAGATCTCATATACAATTCGCTTTTTTATTGGTTAGTACGGCGCTTGCCAAGCATTTCCAAGTTAAATGTCTTTCAAAGAAAGAGTGTTTCTTTGTCGTAAATATGTTTATACCTTGGGCTCATCAATGTCGCGCACCTCGTTGTCCTCCGGCTGCTTCTCCAGCGGCTCGCGGCGGTCGTCCTCGACCTCCTCCTCGAACTCGCCGACCTTGGTGGACGGGGCGGAGGTGCTGGGGGCCGACGCCGGCTGGAAGTCGCCCTCGCTGGTGTGCACCCCCTGGGCCACCTCCTCGCCGCTCTCCAAAGGACGCACGTTGACCAATCGCACCTTGAACACACTGTTGCTGTCCCCGTACACCGTCTCGTTGATCTCAACCTTGTGGCCATCGACGACCTGAGGAGATAGGGATTGGTTATTACATCTTTTAAAAACAAGTTTAAAAATCTATTGTTAATGAAAAAACGTATTTTGCAGACTGAGTGGCTAAAAATACATGTCAATACAGTTTCAAGGCATTTCTTAACCCGATTTACCTTAACAGTGGAAGTGGTATTGCCATTCTTGGGGTTCAACGGAATCAAGGGTCGCAGACCAAATGCAAAGCCACTACCACTCTCATCGCTAGAATCGTCCTTAGGGGAAGCCCCATCCTCTCCAGAGTCGCTGCCAATCACAGGCCAAAGACGGGTACGCATACGTCGGAGGAGATCTATTTAAAAGCAAAAAAAAAAAAACATTGGTTAAGCAAATTACTAGATTGTGGTATTATATTAAACATTTATTACATTTATTTAATTTTTTTTATCTAAAGCTAACAATTAGAATTAAACTAAAAGCTAACGATTTTCTTAGAGCCAAAGCAGCTTAGGCCTTCAGCTCGGTGCTTAAATAGGTTTATGGATATAATATAATATATATATGCTCCATATATAAGCGACCATTAAAAGTTTGAATTTTGTATTTGCAAATATTAATACTCAAACACACGTGTGCTAATTCATGTAAAAAGTAGACGGCAGTTTCATTTTGGCTGTCCATTTAAATAAATCATTGTGATTTTTCAATAATGCTATTAACACTTACTATTTTTGTATACAAAATTTGTTTGCTTTGTTTTAGATTCCTGAATTGTTGATAGGATTAATACCAATTCAACGAACTCTAATAAGTTTAACCCAAAAAATTTAAACAGGCGCTCAAGTGAGTCTGTGGGAAACACAGCAGGTGTCCTTGGTCTAGACTGGTCCATGAAATTTTCCTTGAGTGTCTGTATCTATCCTTGAGAAAGGAGAGGCATTCCGTTGTCGTCGTTGTCTCATGCTAATGTATTTTTCAGTTTGGAAATCCCTAATCCGTAAACGCACTAAAAAGCGTTTTCTGTGTCGTCGGCGCCTCTGTCTTTTTCTTGTCTGCACTTTTGTAATCCTCAACCCCTGGCTGCAACCCCTCCTACTCCTCAATACGTCCGCCTTGCCTTAGTTCTTTGGCCTTTCTAGTCTTTTTTCTGTTCTCTTCAACCTTGTCATAAATTCTTGACCGCATTGTTTGCACGACTTTGTTTTGGCCTGGTTGCTGATTGTCGTTTGTCACCAATTCATTTGCTTGCTGCATTTTAATGCGTTTAAAAAGCTGCGTGAAATAGTTTCTGCTCGAAAAAAGTTGTTACCATATTTGAGGTGATGTTTTTATTTTTAAAAGGAAAAAAACATATTTTTTGACTTCTTTAAAATTATTTTTACAAATATTTTAAGTGGTACTTATTATTTTTTCCATGCATCTAAATATTAGATTTTTTGCGTGTTCTCTCTTTTTTGATTTTCCTATCTAAGTAGAACAAAAATAATTCGCTGACAAGAAACTTCGCAGGCCACCGCAACGTTCAACTTTCTATTTGTCTATATGCCATTTTCCACGCTTCGTTATCGTTGACCCCCTACAATCCACAACCCCCAACCCAAAAATAAGTCAACAAAGAATATAACAACTTTTATGCATATACAATGCCCAGGGCTTTGGGAAGTTTTTATCCTACCCCTCGAACGTATTAGGATAAGATTTATGAAGTTTCAGCTTCATCGTCGTCATCTGCGACGTCTTACAGTCTTAGTTAAGCAGAAATTGGCAAGAAGAGGCGCAAAACTTTTCACTTTTAATGGTCAACAGACTGGTTTGACCTACTCCACTCCACTCTCTTTTTGGCTCCCCGTAAATATAGAAATAAATACAAGAGAATAAATAAACTTTGTCTGGCTACAAGAACATAATATTTTGATAAATTGTTTTTCATTTCACTTCCATGAAATGGGGGTAGGCAGAAATAGAGATGGAAAAGTTTAAAAGTCCCCAAAGGACAGTTGGCTAATTGGCCTGACCCAAGGGATGTGCCTTTAGACCATGGCTACCAATATGGAAAAATAAACTCGAAGACTCTGTTACTCATTATTTTAATTATTATTAAAAAAAAAGGACGATTTATGGTTATTGCATTTCCTTTAAATGTTCCATATGTGGGTCTACCTTATGATTGAAAGTATAAACCAAAATTCTGTAATCAATATTCATTATGCAACATAATAACTATTAAATTTATGACACTAAAAAGCTAATCTTTAAAATATTTTGTACTTATTTAATTTGTTCAAAAACCAGAATACTCCGCTTGAGTACTCTAATATTAAGTATACGTAATGTGTACACCGTTCGATCATCGTTACGCACAATAATAATTGCATTAAATGCATTCGAGACAGGTAATTGCGTTGCATGCAGTTTTTGAGGCCACATTAAAATATTGTTTAATTAAAATATCATTAAAAATGCTTAAGCCAATTAAGCAACACATCACGCATACGCCGCATGTGACGCATTGCACTCACCATCAAAGGAGTCGAAGATGCCCAGGTTGAAGCTTGAAGGATTCGCCTGGAGGAAGGGATAACCCGAGCCCGTATCAATGACGCCGCGGAAGTTATGGAAATCCGGTTCGGGTTCAGGGCGCGAGGGCACCTTAATCACCTCCGCATCGTCCTGCGGGTCGTTGCGAGCTAAAGAGAAAAATAAAAGGAAAAGGTTGTTTCAGTGCAAATTAAACGCTGTTAGTCATCATTAAGAGCCAAATTGCCTGCGAAAATTGGATTGAATTAGCCAAATCAGCAGGGAAAGACTCCTTTTTCCTGCCTCATTAACGCTGATTACGCAGTCTTTGCTTTGCATAATTCTTCTTACATTCTTTTAGTCGAAGTTATATGATATAACAGTGCTTATTTCCCTTGACCTTTGCCTGATCTCTGACATTTTAAAGTTTAAGGCGAATAAATCACTTTGATTTTAGAATTAATTCTAGCTACTTCACAAACTGGGCCAAGGCTCTATCTGCGAGCCCCTAAATAACGAGTCCTTCGCACGGATTCAGAGCGGGAGACGTGCAGTCAGGTTGCAGGCACAGATAAATTCTCCCCTCCTCCTTTCCCGGCACTCAATCTTTTTCTCCCTCAATCTTTAGTCCAGGCATGTTGCACTTCATAAATCTCAGCAGCTGACACTGACAGCGACAACAGGCAAAACAACGCAGCACAACCATCATACAACAAGTGGCCAGAGAGCACAAATAACACAAATCAGGAAAAAGAAATGACCCTGACTATGGTGCTACCCAGCACCAAGATGTTCCTTTATTAAAAATAATCATGGTATTTTTTAACTCAAAATGTATTTTATATTTCTATGTTCTAGAACTAATTTGTCGGTCGGCAAAATGTAAATGACAAGCAAAAGTTTGATCGCTTTTATTTTTCAGGTCGGTTCGAATTTCTCACTGATTTGTGGAGCAACAAAAAATGTAAATATTTTTTGTTCAAAAAATGAACATAACTTTAAAAAAGCAAATTAGAAAACCTAACATAAAATTGAAAATAGTGACATTTCTGCTCAAACAGTTCGAAATACATTGCTGGCACTCAAAGTTTACCTCGAACAAAATCGGTCAAGACTTTTTTATTTTTGCTGACCATTCCTAATGTTACGAAGCTAATATGCCAGAAGTTTTTCCAAATGGTAACTAGCGTTCTTGATAAGATTTTTGTGCAACATTTCCCAATGGGTTAAGTTGTTTTATAAGCATTATTCTGCATAGTTGAATTCCTGCTGCTACCTCTTCCCCGAATCCAATATACCCTCTCACATTGAACCCTTCCAAACCAACTAACGACGTTAAAAATAAGTCAAGCAGAGTTGGCTCTCCTCAACTCATCTCAGGGCAGCTCAGTTCGCGTGCAGTTGGAATGAAATGTGAAATATGAAAAGCTTTATGTGCTGCGTGAAATTGCTTACGCAGAAGTCGAGCGTATGTGACCCCAAGGGGTCATGGAGGGATGTGACATGATGTCTGATTCAGGGGTGCACAAAACAAATGCACTTTTGCGGGTCCCTTTTTACGTTCGCTTTTTAAGCCGATTTATGAGAAATATACCCGACGCCCGCAATATGTTGGGGTTTTTGTGAAAAAATGTCACCACCACCCCTGTCCCCTCAACCACCCCTAAAGTCCCACAGAGCTTCAACGTAAAGTGGAGCAATTGAAGAAACAAAAACAAAGATCCAAAATATGGGCCAGAGGCGCCGGGTAAAAGGGGTAGATTGGCAGACGTGAATGTCATTTACAAGTGCCAATATTTACCTTTGGTGGTGCATATGAAAGTGGGCTACCTGCTGGCAAATATGCAGCATGGATATATTCATTGGTGTAAATGCTAAGTTATCGAATGTGAATTTACTTTAAAAAACGTTTGTTAAAGTTGTTAAACAAAGAACAATCTACCAAATATAAAAAATAGTAAAAAGTCTCACACCTTTCAGTTTACAAAATTTTTTTTAAAAACATGATTTTAAGACAGCAAATAATTATGGAAAATACTAAACTCTTTCATTCATCTCCCAAATTCCACAAGCTTAACGAAAATAAATTTATTGTTTTGATTTCAAATACATTTTTCAATCTCTTCTAGGGCAACTATTTTATATAGTAAAAGAGTTAAGACTTTTGGGATATGTTAATATAGAAAGCTTTAAATCTGAAAAACGGATGGGCGGAAAGTCTGACTGACAGGCAGAAAAACTAGATTGATTGGCTAATAATTAATAATATATATAAAACAATAAGTACATTTTATGAATACAATCTAAATAATATATAATAATTAATAATATATATAAGACAATAAGTACATTTTAGGAATAAAATCTAACCGATTTAAAATTCGTTATATTTAACTTTTCTTAACACTATAAAAGATAACCCCATCGTTTGCTTTACCAACCCCTCTTTAATTGCCTTCTTTTTTAAAGCTATTAATCATGAGAAACGTGGAGAGCACAGGAAATATGAAAACAACTAACATGGCAGATTCATTAATTTTCCAATAATTAAGCCCAGACAGGGGACTACGGCTTTTCTCCCGACTTTCCGCACTAAGCCCGCGCTGCCTCTGCTGAATTATGGAATTAATAAAGCAAGTTGGCAGATTTTTGGGAAACCAAAAGGGACTGCGGAAATTTCTGCAATGCGCTGCGCTTTTGTTCTAAACACAACGAACATTTTTGTTGCTAATTATGTAAGGTTAACAAGCGACTGGGCGTGGCACTCATATATTTTTTTGGGCCTTCCACTTTTGTTGCTTTCCTGGGAGCCAAAATAAAATCCCTGGCAATCGCTTGGCCTGCGTTTTATGGCGCTAATTGGCCAACAGGCGGCAGTGGGAGTGCCCGACTGGCTGCGTCAATTAATTAACATAATTGTACAATTTTGCATAATTTAGTAAGCAGCAATGATGATTTTGTGCACCGGACTTCTTTGCCTTGGCTCTGGGAATTTTTCATGCTCAGTGGCAGGATTTGGTTTTTTTGACAAAGTGTTTTGTGGCTGCAAATAGTATCTGAGATTAATATAACTCAATTTGTTTAGTTTATTGGTTTATAATTTTAAAGAAATTAAGAACATTTTTATTTAAATAATCTGGTTTACTTATTTGGGATTAACAATTTCTCTCTAATCTACATTTGCAAGCTTTTTATTCTAATTTCCAAATTTTTATGGAGTCCAATTTATGTACACTGCAATTCGCAACGCAATTGTTGCGCCGAAAAGGTGTATACACTTTAAAAAACCAAGTGTTGGCATTTTAATCAAGTAACTATGCTTTATTTTAATACTTTCGAAAATATTTGGTTGGTACGCATCTTATTTAGGATTTTATCATACTAAATAGTTTTTGAACTCATGTAATCCTACTTCTTTTAAGTGCACAAATGTTATTACATTTCGTAAAACAATATTTTACATTCGTGTCTGAGCCATCAACTCATGATTGAAAGACACTTTGAGAAACATGAGAATTTGTGAGAAATTAGAGTAGATATAAATGCTAAAAAGTAATTGCCAACTGCTTTGCTTGGCTGCGTAGAGTTGCTGAAAATTATTAAATGCTCCTCCAATTGGCCTTTTCGCAGCGCCCAAAATGGTAATTAAACTGCCGGTCGAATTGGGCTAGTTGGGATTCCATTGGATTCCATTGGTATCCAGGGGGATGAGTCTGAACTGGCCATCAAATTTATATTGCCGCTGTTCGGGGCAGCACAGATGAGTGGCCCCAATATGGTTTTGGCCAACATACAAAATTGCAATTCGCTTTTTGGCCATCATCGATGCATGCGTTTTCAATTACTTTGACGTTCAAATTGTTGATGAAATATGTGTAATACTCGGCTCGTTTATTGCCGAGACAAGTTTACCACTTTTTCACAATTCATTTGCCATTTTCCGGATTTCCATTCAATATTGCAAATTTAATTCACAAAAAAATGTATTTGCCGCTACTATGGTGAAACTTTTCTAATTAATAGAAACAACGGTAAATAAAATGAAAAAATACGTTTAAAATAAATAAAACTTTTCAGCTTTTACTGCAGGGCATTCTCATTAGAGTTGGCTTTCTTTCTGCCCATTCCCCTCAATTTATCCTCTCGGCCATCTATCAATTATTTTACCATTTTAGCGCTCACAAATCAATTAAACTTTTCCAGCGAATTTTTGCCTCAACTTTGTTGCTCCTTTTTGCAGTTGCATGCAATTAATGAATTTTTAATAGCCGCACTTTGGTTAATGTAAAAAGTTTTTCCCCTAATGCCAGAAGGGAAGACCGGAGGTAGGGGCTTAGGCTACTTGTTGTAATTATGATTGTAGTTGCAAAAAGTTAGTTTACTATGTAAATCTTCTGAGAATCTTTTTTTTACGCCAAGCTTCTGGCAATTATTAACAGCGAAAAGGGAACAGAAAAGGCTTAAAGAGACGTTGGTTAGAAGTGTTATTATTATCCAAGACAACCATATTTATTTAAGAGTGCAATTTTTCTTTGACTGAAAACTCCGGTGAAATTATCCTAAGTTTTTGGAGAGCTTTATATTAATAGATTTATAAACTAGTGTCTGATAATTGTAAATATTTTTGTTATTAGAGCTTGAACATTTTTAATGCCATTGCTCGAAAAGTAACTACAATAGTAAATAAATCGAACGTTTTCTTGATTTATTTCTGCTCTTTCACTTTTCCCACTGTGAGTGCTTTCGCTTTTAAAATCACCTATCTGGCATTAATCCATTAGCCTAATCCCAGCACAGATTAGAATCCAACCACCCACTTTCAGAGCGATTGCAGCTGCAGGAGAGAAGCCATCAACGCCTTTGGAAGCACCCAACCTAAACCAAATCCAAAACCAAAACCGAAACCCTGAGAAAGGCATTTCAATCACATACAAACATTTGTGCTCCCTCCGGCCGGAGTGTGTGGACAGGATGTCGGGATTCCGCCTCTTAGCCAACTCGATTGTACGCAATTTGGGTTAAAATGATTTCAAATCAGTTGATAACCACTGGCCAGAGACAGTCGGAGGCCTGTCGAAGCGAAGGCAGTGGGAATGGCCCAAGAGGGCGGGCCACGGACCAGGGAGTGGGCGTGGCATGAGTGCAGACTTGTGTCACGTTCAAGAACTCT